ATTAGCAGAACAAAAAAAAGCAGCTGCAGCTCAAAGAAAAACTGATTTTTTTCCTCTTAGGGAGCCCAGGATATCATCAACGAGCTTCCTGTGGAATATGTGGAGCCTCCTGAGTTGAAGGACGTCTCTGTAACTGGAGGTATGAAGTTCCTACCTGATGATGACCTAAGGTTCAACTGACTGAAGCGCTGGGCTCATGTGTCTGCATTGGTAGCTTCATCAGAGCATGCATCAGCCATGCCCTTAGTGCAATGTTTAAATTCAGACCTGTGTGCCTTTTGTTTTCATAATTTTCATCAAGAACATGGAGGAACAGAGATATGTGACATCGGCTGATAGAATCAGCCCCAAAGTATTGCAGCACCAATCAGGGATCGGTCAGGAGGATTTCAGAATGATTGTTATCGGCCTTTAAAGAACAGTATGGGGGAATCTCTGGCTCCTGATAGGCTCAATCTTTGCCTGCATGTCTTAATTTGGTCCTTTTTCATCATTTATTTTTACACTAATCAAACTATTAATAATTTAAAACATTTCCGTCAGCAGCACTTATTTTTCACCTCATTTATTTCTCATTGATCTAAAGCAGATCTGTGTGGGAAGTTAATAAAAGGTCTAATTAGAGAAAATCTGCGGTCGCTGCATCTGAAGTTTTCAACCCAAATGATAATTAATGTGGAAAATGTTTGTTTTTTTATTTATTGACAGTAATTGTTAGGAAAGATGAAATGTTTTCTTTTGGTTTAACAGGAATAAGAAGTGCAATGTTTTAGAATAAAGAAGCAAATGAACACTAATGATTCATTGATTTTCCATCTTCTATTCAATGAACAGATGTAAAGAAGTAACTGTTTTTTTCTTATTTAGCTTCAGGAATCCCTTGGGATTACTCCTTCAGGGAAATTCCGGTTCCAGTAGCTTATATAGAGTAGAAAGAGTTAAATCAAGATGCCATTAAAGATAAAAATACAACTGAGATTATTAAGAGTGTATTTAGTACAAAAGAGCATAAAAGAAAAAAATTGTAATATTTTTCCATTAGATATAAAAATATCTGTCCAGTAGAGAGCTGAGTCTCTGACTTGGATTATTGCACAAACTCCTGGTGTTCATGTTAAGAGGTTTAAAGGGAACTGATCCCTGATCTGCTGGACGCCACCATCACATTCAGCTGATTTTCTGATGAATGAATGAATGAATGTCAGCAGCTCTAACGCAGCTTTGCTTCACGTAGATATGAACAAAGTTTACGCCACCGTTCTGAGCCGACACCACCACCTGGTGAGGAAGAGCGACGGCATCTACGACCCCATGGAGTACGAGAACCATCCAGAACTCTACACGTCTCACTTCAGGACCAGCGTGAGTTTCCCACGCCCCGCCCCCCCTTCCAGCCGCCGCTGTCAGTCACTCTGACGGGATCAGGTCTCAGCTCTGACCTCTGACCTCATCCTGTTGACTCTTTGGAGGGAAATGTTTGCTCTCTCCTCCAGGATATTTACAGTTGCTATGTAAAGAACAAACCTGGTGAATCTGCTCTGTGGGACACAGATGGCGGTCTGTAAAGACACCCCTGTAGTCTTCCAGTCGGTTTAGGTTTTTGATAATGATTTTTGATGCTTTATGTCATAGAATCTAGGCTCTGATCAGGATTCACCGCCTGTTAGTTGTTTCCCCATTGAGCTCTGCTTTAATCTGTCCTTAAACTAAACAAAAAATACTTTTATTTTATTGTTTATTAAACATAAATATAGAAATCTGCATTTTAGTGTCTCTGAAGAAAAAACTATAAAATACAAAATGAAAGATGGATAAAAGGAAAAATCAAGTAGTTGACCAATAAATGTTTAGATTTTAGCCCACAGAGTAGAAGGAACATAATGACGTCGTTAAATGGAGAAATGATTCCTGTAGAGAGCGCTGGGCCCCACAGCCAGGGGCCCCGGGGAATATTCTGGGGTGGAGTTGCTCAAGAACCCAGACGGAGCAAACCAGGAGCCTCTCCAGGTCTCCAGCCTCCCGTCCTGCCGCTAAAGGTTTACCGGAAACAATACAGGAAATCTAGACCCTCTATCGTTCATTTATTTGGCCGTTTGTCAATCTGTGCACTTGTTGGTTCTCGTGTCCTCATGAAGCATCCTTGTGCTCACCCTAGCACTGTTCCAATTCACAAAGCAGTAGACCGAGAACGGACTACTGTTCTGGCCCCTCCCGCTTTACCCAGCATGCATCAGAGCAGACTTGTGCGTTCTTCAGGCTGACAGCTGTCCCAGCATGCACTGCGGCAGCAGCAGCTTCCAGGTTAGCGCTCACAGAGCTAGAGTTAAGTGTTAGAGTGTTAAAACTTCTCTTTTCTGTTTCTGTTGCTCTATAAAAGTACATTTTAAGATCATTTGAGGCAAGAACATTATACTTTAAGCTTCACTATATATTATATATATATTTACGAATTTAATGCGCGATTTAAAAAAAATAAAAAGTTCTGCTGGTCCCCTAATTTCCCGAAGGTAGTAATCCCAAGGGATTAATAAAGTCAAGTCTAAGTCTAAGTCTAACGTTCCCTGAGCTAACGTTAGCCCTAGCACGTCTGCAGCAGCCAGGGCTGCAGGAAGGCTGCAGGTTTAGGAACCCTGTAGATAGAAGAATTTATTAATAAATGAAGGAATTTTAGTCTTGTTTCTCTCTTGATGCAGTGATGAAAAGACTGCAGCCAGTCGAAGGTGAGCAGCTCCAAAGCTGAAGATAAAGGGAGTGAACTTTTGTTTTAGATCACTTTAATACCTAGATCTATGTTTACTTCGAAACGATGAAGATCCGACAGGACCTCCTGTAAAAATCTCTTGTTTTCACCTCAAAATAATTCTATTCAGTTTATTTCTATAGCTCCAATTCACATGTCATCTCAAGTTACTTTCCAGTTCACCAGATCATCCAGTCAGTCAGTCAGGAAAACCAGCTGATTGCATCGACTCATTGACTCTTCAGCAATCCCTCACACTAAGCATGCTTGTAGCAACAGTGGGGAGGAAAAACTCCCTTTTAACAGGAAGAAACCTCCAGTAGAACCAGGCTCAGTGTGAGCGGCCATCTGCTGAGGCCGACTGGGGTTCAAGGAGACAGAAGCAGAGATACAAAAAGCAGCTGTAAAAGGCGGCCCCGTCCAGGAAACACACAGCCAGGCAGACGAGCTCCGAGCCAGCTCCCATATCAGAGGATGAAGAGAGCACATCCAGTTAGTCACAGTCAGAGAAACAGGACTACACTGAAAAACAAGCCAAGCTCCAACATCTATAAACAAAGGTGTTGATGGCAGCAGCACAGCTGATATTTCTCTGCAGGATGGAGTCACAGCCAAACAGGAACAGACCAGATGAAGCTACTATGAGAAAAAGCAGAGAGAGCAGAACGTTAGAGATTGAACTAACAGATTCTGCAGAGTGGGAGAATAGAGATAGAATGAAGCAGAATGATGAAAAAGGGGTCCCTATGTCCTCCAGCAGTCTAAGCCTATAGCAGCATAACTATAGAGATAGCTCAGGATAATAGAAAAACCACTGAAAGTTTGAAAATCATAAGACCTTGGAGCCTTTTCCGAGCCCTCGTTCCTTTTGTTTGTTCGGTTTCTGGCTCAGACTCATTCCTCTGTGTGGAGCAGCAGTTCTCACTCCTACTATTTTCTTACAGGTGGCTCCCTACACAACCTGTCTGATTAATGGCATTTACTGGGACCCCCACACCCCCCGCCTCCTCAGACGAGTTGATGCCCAGAGGCTCATCAGACCTCTTAAATCCCGTTATGCGTTCAATGACGGATCCCCGGCTCTGCCGCACAAGTAAGAGACCTCCCAGTATCAAGATCAGCTGTTCTGGTTCTTTATGTGACCTTTGGTAGAACCGTTACCCTGCAGCGCACAGGAAGTCTGATGCATAAAGCTTAGTTTAAAGGTCTGACCTTCGTTCATCCTAAACTATTAGTGCTTTTAGACTGGATCCCAGGTCCTTAAATCCGCATGGAAGTCACTCAGGATGTTTAATTACAACGAAAAAACTATTTATTATCTGACAGCGACTAACTAAAG